AGTAATCTAATTCAAAATAGACTAGAGCCTGCACATCTACACTATAGCAGAAAGCTTTTAGTAAAAACTTGAAGCCTCTATTTATTGTAAGTAATTGCTGAGATCTCAGCCGGACAGCCAATTTTATTTCACTAATTTCAGTTGAAAAAATGTGTGCATTCGAAACTGTTTTAAAAAAAAAGTATTTTATGCAAGAGATACATACAACATTTTTTCTAGTTAGGTAGGTACTTGCCTCTAAATTTTGATTTTTGTGTTTGACAGAGGTGTCATAATAATGGCATTATAAAACGAAAATAGATTAAAAACTATTTAATAATACACCAAATCTGCAAATGCACTACCTACTGTCCTTTTATAAGCAGATTTTAAAACGTACCGTTAATCAATTCGAAAAGTGAAGGCAGTAGTTTGTCTTTACTCTTCTTCCGTTTTCCAAGTTCGTACAGCTTTGCTGTGATTGTTGGAAACTTTTCATAAAGCTTGTTCTGAAGGTTTGGAAAAGCTACCTCAAAGTCTGCTGCAATCTACAACAAAAATAAATAAGTAGAAAAATCTGTACTGGAACAAACGAAAATCACAATAATTATTTCAATAGATGCCACATGCAAATATGAATGGAAAGTTTTATACTCACAAGCCTTGGGGCGTAACTTTTTTTCATACAAGGAAATTCTTCCATATAATCTGCAATACTAGGCCCGTCGTTTGCGAGAACGCGGCGCAATCTTTCTTTCGCGGTTAACCGCCACTTAGTTAACACTACGTCCGCTGTTCCGTTGATGTTCTCAACCACTGAAGGTCTTCTTCTAGGTTTTCCTTTGGCGAATTTGTATTAAGTGCCGCAGGTATCGGCCTCAGCTGTTGCGATTTGTAAGATTTTTCACTTCCGCTTGCAGACTTCTCCCTAGGGATTATAATTCCCTGAGCTCTGTATCTCTTCTTCAGGTTGCCTACACAATGAAACAACTTCCCCAAGGATTTTTTCTGACAGTTTATGACTGCAGTGTGAAAGTATGTTTCAGCCGACTCTCTCGGAAAGTTTTCTACAATTTGCTTTGCCCAATATTGGTAAACAAAGCACGTGACAGGCCTTTGATCATCATCTCGAAGAATCTCCTTTGATATTACTTGGCATAACTGCTGCCTTGACGACTCCGTGAGATTCTTCTCCAGTAAGCTTCGGCCTTCTACAGTGCGCAACAGCAAAGCGCGAAGATCCTTCCAAACAAATAATACATTATATAAATGTTTCCTATACTGAATATAAATAACGCATTAGAATAAACAACCCGTAATTTGTACAAAAATAGTTATTTATTAAACTTGAGAATAAAGTGATACTTTCTCACACTCGAGTTCTGGATGTTCCCCACACGAGCGTAATACTGGGCTTGCCCACACCAGCGCAGCGAGTGTGACAATAGAACGAGAGCTGAAAAAGTCTTTTTTCTCGCGTTCAATATTAAATTTTTTCTACTTAGGGAAGGTGTGAAATAAATACAAGTAGAGGCTACGGCGATGTTAGTCTTCCATTTGATTTAGCGAAAGCACCAAAATAGGGTAACATTGATTTTACTTTCTCTCACTAGAGAGAGAGAGAGAGAGAGAGAGAAACTAACTGTCTCTCGTAATAACTCTTTTCTCTAGGGATTAAAAGTATCTCTTTTTCCCACTAACTCGGTTGAAAAATGTGTGCATTCTTCAACTGTTGTAGAAAAAAACTTTATAACAAACATTAAAACATATGATTATTAACGTTATCTGAGGAAGTGGATTGAGATCATATACTAACCGGTTTTAAGATCTCCGGCTCGGGCGAAAAATCTCTTGATGCGCCCTTTGATGTGGTAGGGGTGGACGTGACGTTTCTTAAATATTCTTCGCCACCGTTTGATCTTTGTAACGGGTTGATGGCTGGAGCCGGTGAAAGTTCAACCCCAGGTTGGGCCGGATGCACGATATATTCTGCCTGAAAGCCTAGATTTGGTATGTACTGGCTATCCTGTACAGGGGAACTATCAGACGGAGCTATGATTGATGCTTCGGTATCCAAATTAAACAAAATTTTTGAAATATCTTGGTTTGACGTCGCAGTCTAAAAAAGAAAGGCGAATTATTCCATGGGAGATAATATTACACATCTTAAAATTAGTTGAAAGTGTAATAAATGACGGTGTATTACTGTATTATTAAAAGAAATAGGACGTACAAATGATTGATCCTCCCGGGTGAGCTCGTTGGCCTTCCGAAATTCTTCAAGCCTCAAACGAAATTTGATTTGATGGCCTATTGATGGGACCAAGCGCTCGAGATAATTACTTTTATCCAAATTTGAAAGTGCAATTAAGTCGATGTCGTTGGCTAAACAGAAAATACGGTATTACACTTCTTAGGGGGATTAATCATTTTAAGACATTTAAAATTTCATGACTTAGCTTTAAAACGTAGTCTGTGATGTGTTAGTAATAGGGGATACATAACATGCAGTTATTTTTTGCTGTAGGTACTGAAAAAAATGTGTTTTTTGGCATTATTTTCATTCAAAGTTCTTATGAAATGGTCACGCAGACACGCGCACACACACCTGTCAGTCCATCCGTCCGTCCGTCCATCCTATACCATCCATTCATTAACCTATGTAATTAATAATAATGTAAGAGACAGACGGACAGACGACAGACAGACAGACGACGTAAAATTGAGCAATAAGCGTTATCGCAAATTCGATGTGTTACGTTAAAAAAGCTTTTCGGAAAACACAACTGTTGCTCAGAAAGGAGTGAGAAAACACGAATGAATTAATACGAACTATAAAACAGCAGAAAAATAGGTATATAACTTATAACGTACCTATGTAGGTATTTTATCAAACTTACTTACCTTTGAAAATGTCTTTGTACATAGACAATTCCCATTCTTCTAGTTTTAGCACCGTCTCGTCATCTGCCATAACAACAAACGTGCACAAAACACAACACTTTGAAAATATTTTATAGAATCTACTATCCCGACAGATTACACTGATTACAGCAACAATGGTAACTGCCTATACCTGCTAACAAGCGTCACATTAATTTCTATTCAAGGCTTGCCAGGCTTGCTGAAAACGATACGCAACGCTATCAGAAGGTTGTTCTTGCAGTTTACAAAAGCTGATTTAACTCCTCGTACAGGTTACTTTAACACTTTTAAGCGTAACTTCAACCTACATTATATTTTCTTACGTAGAAAACGGTCAAAGTATATAATATTAAGCAGTAGAATTTACTGTGCAAACGGTTGATTCGATGGTGTTGGTTTACGGCTTTACGCCATTACACGCGCTTCTATTTTTTTTTTAAATTGCATCCAAGTCATTTAATCAAGGCTACACTTGCAAATCGTATAAGTATGGTACCTATATTTTCGTGGATTATGGAAGGATAATGGAAGTTGTATCTAATTCTAGTAATACCGCATCCATAAAATGTGCCTGTATGTCCCTATTGAGTTTTTATAAACTCAAAACAAGAATGAAAAACAATGGTCAAAGAAAGTACAATTAACCGAATCATTCGGTTCCTAATATCATGTTGTTACTGTTTAGAAAAGTTTAATTGACGTTCAGTAGGTCAGTTAATATTACGTTTTGGCATAACAGTTGAAGCTACCTTTTGATGGGTCAAAATTACTTAGGAGTTTCAGTTGTTTTTGATGTATACGGTAAAACTGTAAAAACAACGGTGGAAAGAACGGTTAATCAAACCCCACGAATCTGAAACTGTTGAAACAACTTTTCTCTCGATTAAATCAACGCATTTTATGCTTTTATATTGTTAACCCCAGCGTATAGGTTGATTTAACGACGACATTAGGTCTTTTTAACATTTTCGATTAGTACATGCAACTTTTTTAACCGTACATTCTACCGGTTCGTCATCAACCGACCAAAAACGGTGCTCGGTTAAAAAATATTTTTCTCAGTGTAGAAGATTTGCTGATAGAAATAAAAAAAACTCAAATGGGATCTAGAAGTTTTGGGAGTACAGCGAAAACTAAAAACTGTCCAACTGGGCTAGGAAGGAGCAAATATGTATTCTCTAATATTTTTGTATTAATATAATAAAGAGCAGCGCTGTAAGTGTTTTATTCTTAAAATTAATTTATAAATGTGAGGTATATTTCTCTGTAGAAGAATTACTGCGATATGTATCGATTATTTATCGATCGTTTCGATCGCTCCATTATTAAACGAGTTCGATTGGGGTGAAATGTATTCATTATACGTAAAAGCATTAATATTATGCCAATCAAATTAAGGATTAGTTTAAAAATATTTATACCGCCGATAATTTCGCTAAATACGGGGCACTGCATTTTTATTAGCCGTATTTATTGTTACAGTTTGGGGGGGTGGTGCTGCATGAAACTTTTCCAAATAGTCGCTTATCGACCTTTTTGATTGATCCGTTGGTAAATGAAATGTGATTGCATTCATTATACTCAATTATTAAGTTTACCATTTGGTTAAAAACTATATAATGTCGATAAACAGATTTTGCTAATTACGCGATGTGAACATAAACTGCATTTTTTATAAAGAATAAGGAAGTCAAAGTTCCAAGAACGAGGAAAAATTCTTTCTGAGATAAGAGGTTACTGAACAGCACCTGCAATTACGAGCGCGCGATTCTAAGTATAGAGCTTATCACCTGCAAATTGTGAAAAATTATGTACTTACACTTTAATAAACGTAATAATGCATTTCCCAATTTATCAATTAGCAGAAAATATGTACGTACCTACCTATATGAAAGCAACACTCATTTTTGTACCGGAATTATTTACTTCTTTTTCCCAAAATACACGAAAGCGCATACAAACAACTGTAATTACTCCTTTTGGAGGAAATTCGTCCAAATATTACACTATTTGTTTATATCATTCGATGGTAGACGACATACACTTTCCGAATTCCATCCCAAAAATATTTTTTTCATAAAAGAAACCACGAAAATTTGAATTTTAAGGAGCAACGACGTTTGAGCGTTTTTATTACATTTATTTTTACAAATTGTGCGTTAAAAATGACATTGAATGAGATTGTTGAGATATTTTACATCTTGATCTATGGCTCTTTCTTCCTCCCGCGCTTCTTCGAGGTCGAGGACCAATTTGGACACCTTGGCCCGGGCATCAAGCAGCTTTTTTTCATACTCGGGAGCCATCTTAAGGAGGCTCGCGTAGGTCGCCTCAGCCACCTGTTTCGGCGTTGATGGGCTCCCATTCCAGTTGCCGCCGCAAGGGTCTCCTCCACCAACTCCATAAAGCTGAAGCATTTGGTCCAGGTTTTTTCCACCCCTTGGAAGCACCGCCATAGTTGTTGTGGTGGTACTGCACACAAGAAAAGAGAGATATGACATTACCGATTTAACAAACATTTCAAATAAACTTACTATACATGCTGATCTCCAGCTGGCAGAAGTGGAGGAGCCGGCGACGGTGACCTTATTAATGGCGGGTAAATTCTGTAAAAAAAATTGATCATTCATAATCATGTTCTCTCTCATTATATGAATTGTATTTTTAAGTAATATATTTACCGATTTTGGGTGCATGATGACCCGCTACCCTCAATCGCATCCAACAGCTCCGCAAGCTGCGCATCGACAGTCGGCTCCGTACTATAATAATGAAATTTTAGTTCACACAGTGGTTGTTGAAACATCAAAAGAAAATATTTACCGTATTTGTGCTGTTCGACCCCCAGACTCATCGTCTGAGTTGATCGTGATGACCGAATATTGGTCATCTAGGAGCGGAAGGGATGGCGCACTCGCGATAGGTATTAGCGGCGGTGGTGGATGCGTCGAATGTTTGCACTGCACTGCACACCTAGGATCTTGTGGTGGTTTTGGTGGTGCAATCCTTATGTCGCTAAGAACTTTAGCTTTCCCACTTGTGGACGGCACTGCGCAACGAACTTTAGCTTTCCCATTATTGTTAATACTGGTGGACGGCACTGGCTTCTTTTTCATTGATAAGGACAGCTTGGGCATTTTACTTGAACTTGCCATGTTAACGTTCGCGATGCAATTAACTAACGGCTGCCATTTCTACTACCTATTTATTATAAAATTTTTGCTAACGTTTGCAGAAGCCGTGGGAATGAGAGAGACAGCGCATGTTCTCTGGAATAGATAACAAAATGCAACGTAGCATTCATTAAGGTTGTTTGACCTCTTGGCTTTGTCCTTCATCAAGAGCACCTGCTGTATATAAAAGGACTTGGTTGTCGGTAAATCGAATAATTGCGTCTCACGATTTCTGCGGAATACATTGCTTGTTGTTGGTGGTGTTCGTATTCACAAGCAATTCCGTGCAGTATCGGTGATCGCCAATCAATTCCAACTTAATCATATTTTTTCACTTGGATAATTTTTGTGTAAGTATGTCGAGGGCTTCGACCACATCTGCGGCGTCCCTTAGCAGTGACATAGTTCGCCTGACTCGAGACGCTGTCAAATTAATAAAAAGCAAATCGGAGATCTCTAAACACCTTTCGATCTTACATAAAAATATAAGTATAGTAGAAAACGCAATCACCAATAAGATTCATTTAGATAGCCCCAATGAAAACCCAATTAGGCTTGAAGCTAATTTAGGGCTACTCAAATTTTATTTCACTCTGTTGCATCATAAATTACAAAGTGTTTCCCAAAAACGGGGTTGTGGCGTTAGTGCCACCGATCGTGCCCCCCATTTTCCTGATCTCGTTTGGCATCAATTAAATTCCTGTTTTCAGGGTAGAATTCTTACTGGAATTATTGTCAATTTAGGCTACAAAGATCCTTTAATTTTTTTACAACGTGCCTATGACAGTGTCCTACGAAAAGTGCGTGAGCAATTGAAGCGATCAATGCTGAAAGTTAACGTACTACTTGCTTGCGATTTTATTAATCCTCAAAACCTTAATGTGAATTTAAAAACTTTTTCGACTAGAAACTCCGTCATAGATATTGGGACCAATTTGCGAGAATGGTACGGGTCTGAGGTTATTGATAAATTACAAGAGAAGCTTGGATCATTCGCCGAATGTGGTTCTGGGTGGGCCTTAAGCCAAATTCTCTATTTAAAAGTGAACCTAAATAGATACGTTCCTATTAGAGTAGGAAAGTCCACTTATGTAAAATTACCTCGTTTTCTCGCTCTTAAAAAAGCAATTATTAATGTTAGGAATAACGATCAATATTGTTTTTTATGGTCCGTGGTCTCGGCCCTGTACCCAGCGCAATCGAATGCTGATAAAACTTATAATTATCCTCATTTTGATGAAGTCTTGAATCGTGGATCTATTCAATTTCCGATTAAACTGGCAGATATAAAAAAATTTGAGCGATTAAATAACCTTGCCATTAATTTATATTGTTTGGATAGGAGAAACGTACTCCCCTTCATGTTAAGCACCAACCACGAGAACGCGACTGTAACAATAAATTTGTTGGTGTTGTCATCGGATTACACCGAAAATGGTGCTACTCGCTCTGCTAGTCGTACAAATTATCATTTTGCTTGGATTAAAAATTTATCGCGTTTATTGTCCGCGCAATTGTCAAATAAAGGTCACACAAAATTTTTCTGTAACATTTGCTTGAACCATTTCTATTCTAATATGCTCTTAGATAAGCACACCGTTCGTTGTCATCAGGTGAATAAATGTGCAGTCAGATTACCTAGTCAAGACGAAAATGTCTTGCAGTTTTCCCACTACTCTAATAAGATAAAGGTGCCGTTTGCCATTTACGCTGATATTGAAAGTATTTTGATGAAATGTGATGGCCTTTCCGATGAAAATAGAAACACTAAATTGTTTCAAAAGCATATACCTTTCAGTATTGCTTTTTATCTTAAATGTGCTTATGATGATTCCTTATCCAAATTTTTATTGTACAGAGGCGCCGATTGTGTTACTTGGTTTATTAATCAGCTACGGTCCATAGCGATTTGGGCCGATAACATTTTTAATAATCCCCTACCTATGGAACAATTAAGCGCGGCTCAACTCCTAGATTTCGAAAATGCCACTCATTGTCACATATGTGAAAAACCATTTTTAGCTAATGAGATTCGTTGTCACGACCACTGCCATTTCAGTTCTCAGTACCGGGGCCCAAGCCACCAAAAATGCAACGTAAACTACAAGGACACTCATGTAATTCCTGTGGTGTTTCATAACCTTAGCGGGTACGATGCACATTTCCTTATTAGCGAACTAGCGACCGGTATGCCAGGTCAAATTAAAATTTTACCTTTAAACAAAGAGAAATACATTTCCTTTACTAAATATGTAGAGAATACAAATGTAAACTTTAGATTTATCGACTCCTTTAGGTTCATGAGCAGTAGCATAGAAAAATTGTCGTCGTACTTAGGAAATGATAAGAAAACCATAACGAGATCGCAAACTGGAAACGAAACTGAGTTCAATTTGCTCACGCGAAAGGGTGTTTTTCCATACGAGTATATCGACTCTTGGGAAAAGTTAGATGAAGCTCAGTTGCCAGCTCAACATCATTTTTTTAGTTTCTTAACCAACGACGGTGTAAGTGACCAAGATTATAAGCACGCTTTAAATGTATGGAACTCGTTTTCGATTAAAACCCTTGGTCAATATTCGGACTTGTATTTAAAAACGGATGTGCTTCTTTTGGCAGATATTTTTGAAAATTTTCGCTATACTTGCCAACAAACCTACAAACTCGATCCCCTACATTACTACACAGCTCCGGGATTAGCATTCGATGCAATGCTTAAAATTACTGAGGTTAAATTGGAACTTCTAACAGACATCGATCAGGTTATGTTCGTTGAGAAGGGTATTAGAGGAGGCATCACTCAATGCTCCACTAGATACGCGAAGGCCAATAACAAATATATGAACGAAGGCTACCGTCCCGACCTTGAATCGATCTATTTAGTTTATTTTGACGTCAATGCTCTTTATGGGGCTACAATGTGCGAATTTTTGCCGTATGGAGAGTTCTGCTTTTTAGATCATTTTGATACGTTAGATATTGTAAACCATCCTGATGATGATGATATCGGATACATTTTGGATTGTGATCTTGATTATCCCAGAGAATTGCACGACAGCCACTCCGATCTACCCCTGGCACCCGAACACATGACCCCCCCTGCTTCTAAAATAAAAAAATTAATGCTTACTTTATACCCAAAACAAAACTATGTGTTGCACTATCGAAATTTAAAGTTGTATATAAAACATGGATTGCGACTTGTTAAAATTAACCGTGTGTTACGTTTTCGGCAATCGCCCTGGCTAAAAAAGTATATCGACCTTAATACCCAAATGAGGCAACAATCTCAAAATGACTTTGAAATAAACTTTTATAAGCAAATGGTAAATAACGTGTTTGGGAAATTGATGGAAAACGTCAGAAAATATAAAGATGTACATTTGGTGACGGCATGGGAAGGCCGTTACGGCGCCCGTGCGTATATCTCCAAACCAAATTTTAACAGTTGTACCGTTTTTGGTGACAACCAAGATATTGCAAACATAGAAATGAACCGTTTAGAGGTGTTGCTTAACAAACCCATTTATGCAGGTTTAGCGGTATTAGACGTTTCAAAAACTTTTCTTTATGGCTTTCACTATAATTTTGTTTTGGAGGAGTTCAAGGAACGTGCAAAGCTCTTATACACCGACACGGACAGTTTGATATACTCTTTTTCAGTTCCCGACATTTATCAATCCATAAAAACCAATTGTGACAAATTTGATACATCAGGTTATAATCCAGATAACGTTTACGGCATACCTCTCCTTAACAAAAAAGTCCCGGGTCTGATGAAAGATCAGAATAATGGTAAGATAATGTTGGAGTTTGTGGGCCTGCGAGCCAAGATGTACGCTTACCAAGTAGACGGTAAAGTATTAAAAACCAACCAAAGGCGCAACCTCGGCCAGTATTCGAGAAATAACTATAGAAGATTACAAAAATTGCCTCTTTAACGACGAGATTGTAAAACGACCTCAGCATTTAATAAGATCACAAGAGCATGCAGTATTCACCATCAAGCAGAACAAAGTGGTGCTGAGCCCGCACGACGATAAACGAGTAATTTGTTTAGATCGTATCAATACTCGTCCTTGGGGATATAACATCCCCCCTCCCACTTAATGAATCTGTATAAATTCCTCTTCGCCATGCTTGTATTTTCATTTTGTGTGTGTATATTTTCAGGGGTACAATCAAGATGAGCAATGGTAGTAGTGGAAGTAACGATCGAAAATTGGAACAAGATGTCTGTCGGGCGTCCCACGCCACATATGTTGAACATTTGAAATATGTTGTGTTCAACACGACTACTTTCTCTATCGACATCTACTTCCTGATCAATAACATTTTACAAAATATTGTTATTCCGGATGATTGTTTTATTTGGTGCGGTAAATCTAAAAATGTGTGCAAGGAAATTATTAAATTATTAGTGCATAAAAAGATTGAACTGGACAATTTGATGAAATATTATGCGCATGTAAACTGGGATCGTTTTACTACCGCTGCTACTACTGCTTCTACTGCACCGTTGTATTTTAAAATGTTTATAGGAGATTTAGAAGCCAATAGTGTAAATAATGTTATTAGTAGTACCTATAAGGATATTTTGTATGTAACTAACGATGCCATATGTACAGCTGCACAATATGCAAACTGTAATGCTTTGGAAACATTTATTGATGTTTGCAAAGAGTCGAATATTAAGTACGAGTTTAATTCACGCCAAGACCCTCGTCATAAAAAGATTTACGAATTGTTACTGGATAATATTAGAATTGGCACGCAAGATTCGAATGCCCTTCTTGGCTGGAGATGTGGTCCCGATAGCTGCATATGGCCCTCAACGCTGCTAAGTGATTACGAAAAAACATTAGAGATACTCGAAAGGCTAATTAATAGAGATTGTTTTACTAGAAAAAAATATCAATACGTTGTATGGTAAAAGTAGAGAAAATAAAAAGATCAAAATCGTTTATTGTGTTTTATTTATAAAACAATATTTATTACATTATATTATTTTTATCAATCCAAGATTTTTCTTCTAATCCCCACCACTTGACGTAAACTTTGTCTTTCTTCCATCGCAGTATCTTTTCAACCAAATATACATCTGAATACTTGGCCTTTTGCAGCTCTTGCTCGTAAAATCCGCCCAATATCGGTTTACCTTTCATGTCTTCCAACAAATACGTGACCGGATTGGTTATTCGTACTTTTACGATTTTGAATAGTTCGCTAGACCAGTTGGGTGTGTAGCCCTTCGCAAATATGGATTTAAATTTACTAATTCGTACTACATCACCAGCATTAAAACGATATTTTTTGTTGAAGAGCTTGATGTGGCTGTAGACCTTCAGCTGTGTATCGGCCTTGACTTCGATCGGTTTCATTCCTGTTGTTCGATGTTTACGATTATTGTACTCGTTCGTGATTGATTCTATTACATCTATCCATTGATACTTTCCACGTAGACTAAATTGTTTGTACAAAGAGTTTTTGATCGTTCTAATTACTCTTTCGGCTATGGCAGCCTTTTTTGTACTGTACGTGGAATAGTGATTAATATGTAGTAGAGTCATCACTTTGTCAAATGGCTTGTTATAAAATTCTTTCCCAGCATCGGTCTGTAGATTTTTCGGTCTACGTTTGGTAGTCTTGAAAATATCCTGTATGGCTTTTGTTACTTCTTCACCAGTTTTGGTTTTCAACCCTTTCGTCCATAGATATTTGGAGTAACAGTCGATAACCACCAATATGTATTTATGACCGCGATTTTGTTTAGCGTAAGGTATAAATTCGGCCAAATCAGCTTGCCAAAGATCATCAAATCCCTTAATGATGGTATGTCTACGTGGGAAGTTTTTGCGTGCCGCTTTATGTAGCTCGTTTACCACCTGCTGCATCCTCTATTAGGTTATGCAAGGTTTCTTTGACAGCTTTCAAATCTTTCTCTAGTACTTCCACGTAATTGCGAAGACCATCTACAGGTGCTTTAGCGATCTGCATATAATATATAAAGTATCCTTTATTTATGGCATCGCCATCGTCTACTGGATCGGCCACATTCATCAACCGATTTCCATTCAGATCCAGTCTTGTTGATCGATAGTGTTGTAAGGTTAGAGCATCATGGCGCTCAATAGGATCCTCAACGTTACTTAGTCTTTTACGTTTCACATTTATAGTATCATCAGTAATGGAAAATTTTGTCTTTAGCAGTTTTCCAAATTGGGCATGGGTATGCGAACGTCCGAATTTATCCATGGCGAATGTAACCAAAAAAGAGGGAAAAGGAGTATTTATACTAATTGACGTAAAAATCGCTGCGTGGGCTTTTCTATGTAACCCTCCTCGTACATCTCTTCCACGATTGATATTACGTCATTATTTACTCCAGTGTTTCCTGCCATTTTTTCACCCCATAAAACCTCTAAATCCCTAATCAGTTCATGCACGCTATTCCAGTATTTGTATTCGATCGGTCGGTCGAGTTCCTTGAATAGAGTAATACCGCTACCCGATTTCGCACGCCCCCTATTCGCCGCTTCCTCCTCCTTTAGTAGAGGCTTTATTATGAGCGTATACTTTTTGCTCTTATTACCACGAATCTGTTCGGTGGGGTCGTAATTGCGCCGTGCGACATGAGTTGCTATTATTATCTGCTTATAGTTACTTCTATCCTGCTTGGATACTAGCGATTCATCCGGTTCATTCATGATGATAAGTTCGTATAGGCCTGCTGTACCCTTATATTGAACGCCGTTAATCATCAAATCGTCACCATCAATTATCACAGGTGTGTTGCCCATCGTCCACTTATCCGTCTCAACATTATAATGAATTCCAAAGGTCGTGTCAATTGCATTACTCGTATCTCTTATCATGCGCTCGACGTATATACGCGGTAGGTGTTTGTATTGTTCCAAAAACTCTCGCGAGGCTTGCGTATCAAGTAATGATACAGATGATGATGATGCGATAGAGGACTCTTCTTCTTCTTCCTCCGGTTGATGTTCTCCTATTACTGTACTCTGTAGAAATGATGGCGGCTGTCTCAATGATGGAGTAGCCGTGGGGTGAAAAGGTCTAACCATGGGACTAATATCGGTTGGTGGATATTTTTGAAAGTAGGGAAGTCTAGCCAGCGGACTGATCTCGGTAAGGGAAGAGGGCCTTCGTCTCAGTCGCGAGTAATAAGGTATTGCAGGGGTCGTACGTTGTTGTGGTGACTTTCTTTTTGCAGGAGAATGAGGTTTTTTAGAGGGTGATGTAAATACTTCGTCCTCTGGCTCCTCCTTTTTCGTCTCAATAAGCGATGATGATGACAGCGGTTCGATTTTCTTTACGATCTGTGAAAGCGGTTGAATTAGTGGTTTATACGTTCGTACAAACTCCACTTCTTTAATAAAACGATCCGTTTTGAGACGATTGTACTTTTGCTGTATCGCTTTACGAGCCTGAACTATTCGTCGTTTCAAGGCCATCTCCTTATTATCCATGATCAACGGAACAGGTAAACAGATAAAAAACAAGAGAACAGATACACTGGAACAGGGGTCTGTTTCTCAATAAGCTGTTTATTTTTTGGAAGCTGTTGCCTTGATAGCTGTTTATTTCCAACTGAATAATAAACACGTTCTCATGGTATTATATAGTGATCGAAACCTTTCCTGAAACGACCGTTTGGCACATCCGCATCCTTATTTATCACCATAAAGCCATATGGAATTCGCCAACTTTCCGAGCACATCTCTCGGAAGAGCTGCATTGTTATGATGGGAGCGACGTGATCTTCATAAATGTGTCGCAAATTCAAATCGTCCTGTTCGAATAAGACAATTAAGTTAGCATTATCTCGAATCAATTGTTTAGGAATTTTAGAATACGTCTGACCCAAGTAGAAACAGTCGACGGCGTTATGCCTCCCCATTGAAAAGTACGCTCTAATGTTATCCTGTTTTTCACAAGCGATATCATCAAATATAAAAACTGAATTAGGGTTAGCCGCATTTGGTTCCATGATGTCAGCATTCTCGCTAAATGTGAAGAAGCCAATATCCTTCATCGGCTTCAGAATTTCCCCCAAAAGCCTATATTTGTCCTGATTCAGCGATTTAGAATAGACGTACACGTGTTTAAAGCGTAGACCGTTGAGCTCAGTAAGCAGACTGAGCATCGTATTTGTTTTACCGCAATTTGAAGGTCCACAGATTAAGCATCTTATGCTATTTGGAAGTAACTCGCCATGTTTTTTGTGCTTCACATTTGACGTTATAAAAGTATCTAGATTTTGAATGGGCAGCTTATGCTCCTGCGTCACCACCTTCATTTTAGACGGTTGTAATAAAACTACCAGCATTTTCATCATTACATTTTATTTATACATTAAAAAAAATACAACTTATAGTTTTTTCACTTCCCCGGTCAGAGGATTGTATTGAACTAGTGCGTCGTGCAGGATCAGGCAATAAGCAACCGTTCCCGCCTCGAAGGCCTCCATCGACTCCATTTCCAGCTTAACATCTACAGTCGAATGCTTCAGAGATTCGTTTTGTTTCGAACAGTCCAGCACAAAGATTGGGCAACTTTTAAAATACAAATAGTCAAACAGAGCGTCTTGCTCATCCTTGGCATAATAATCTCGTCGAAAGTTTACATAGTTTTGGTATGCCGTTATGTACTTGTTTGCATTAAAATCTAAATGCATCGCTTCGTACGGATAACTTTCAGAGTTGAGATGCAGTTTTAGATTTCGAATTTTCACGTTATCGAAATCGCCCACTCTCGCCTCGTGCGAAAACTTCTTCCCGCTACGTTGTAATGCCACAATTGCCCATCGCGGTTTTTCTAATTGAGTTGAGGTCTTGATTGGCCATACATCCGACTGTGCCTGTTTCAATGCGGGTAATTCGTACAGTTCCCACTGCCGAAAAGGTATTGTAATTGTTGC